TTATCTATTATTTATCTCATCACTTTCTGACCCCCTCCCTGCCAGCAGCCGCCTAGCAGATCCCCCACCTGCAGCCAGGGTACTTCTCAGATTCCATCAGATCCTTCCCTTGCTCAAACACCTGCAGTGGCTCCCCATTGTCCAAACCGTCAGTTGGTCATTTGAGGCCCTCTGTGGTATGATATTCAGCCACTCTCCCAACCCTGTCCCCCATACATGAACACCACCCCCCTTTAATCTTCTGCCTCTGGGTTTTTTGCTCAGCTTCTCTTCTACCTACAATGCCCTCCCCTAGGCCCACTCTTCCAGGAAGCCGCCCAGATCCCTCTGGTGGAAGGAAGTAGTGATCTCCACTGATTAGCAGCAGTAGCGCCTTGAGCAAGTCATTTCACGTTTCTGAGCCTCCATTTCTTTGTTCCAAAATGGGAACGGTACTGCCTCTCTCAGCTTGCTAAGGGGACAAGAGACCATGTCAAGAAAGCAACACTCTTAAATGCTGGTTCTCCCCCGCCTGTGCCTAGGTCAGTATCTGGCACCCAGTGGGCACAAACACACGTTTGCTGCATTGAATTGACTCAAAGGTCCTGAGCTTTTAGAGTTTAACTTGTCTCTTGGAATTACCATGCCCAACAGTGGAACTTAGACAAATTCAATTTCCTATATAAAGGTGATCTGAAAAGAGACGAATAACAAAGCCACTGCAATTCTGATTCATAAGAGGTTTCTCTCCCAGTTGACACGGGGCCAAACCAGCTCCCCAGAAAGGGTCCATTTGGGAACCAAACATGGCGCCTAGCTTCTCCAGCTGGAAGCGGGAAATATCTGCCGCACATTTCTGTCTCAAGCCCTCCCAATCCCAGACAGCAAAAGGTGATTTCTTACAACCATTAGCATAATTACCCAACTGCAACGCTGTAGAGAAGCGATTAGATGAGCCTGTGATTTTTGCACAGTTATTTGTCTCAAGTAAGTCACCTGAAGTTCATCTGCCATCAGGATTCACGGCTGCGTTCTGTAATCATAGCGAATTATTTTGCTAATAACAGAGGTACCTTGATCTAATTTAGTTTTAATGCCAGGAGGTGCCCTCCCAGAATAATCAGCTCCAGGGCAATTCTAATTTCCAGTTTTGTTACACATTCTGGAGAGAAGATTCAATTCAAGGAGGCTGAAGTTACTTCTTTATCACCCAAAGTCATCTAGGGGCAAAATAGAATCCTACCTCTACGTGTTTGCAGAAAAATGCAGGCGGAGGCCCAGCGATAGGGAGCCAGGGGAACTCCCAGCTGAGAAAGAATGGCTAGAAGACAACACTCATGGGTGAGGACCTGGGTGAGATAGGTCCCTAAGGCATTCCCTGGGAGAACCCTAACTTTTCTTGTGTTCATTCATTATCTCATTCATTCTTTTATTCCATTTCCGAGGTTGCTGCTCCGCAAGACCTCGTCGCTGCTATTATTTGAGTACAAATATTGATAAGAAACAGTGATGCAGCCCTGTTCTAGCTGCTTTACACATATTAACTCATTACACCCCATGAGGCAGGTGGGTGCCCTTATTATCCCCATTTTACGGATGGCAAAGCTGAGGCAGGGAGGTTAAGAAATTTATCTCAAGTCACACAGCTGGTAAGGGGCATAGCTGGGATTTGAACCTGAGCCCGTGAACGTCCTCAAGGTCACATACAAGGAAGAATCCTGAGTCCATTAGGAATTGTTCAACCCCTACTCAGTGCTCTCATTGACCCCTCACAACAACTCTGGGATGAGGGTGGTGTTGCTCCCATTTCATTGAGGAAGAAACTGAGTCTCAAGAGGGGGCTGATTTGGCGAAGGTCAATGCAGTGAGTAAACAGAGGAGTTGGGCTTTGAACCTGAGATTCTGATTTCATACCTAGTGCTACTTTGGCTAAAGGCAGGAGTCTGTGCAGTATCTCTGAGCAGCTCTGAAGCAGGCTGGGTATGGTGTAATTACAGTATGCTCTGCTCTTCCCTTCCCACTTCAGGGCAGTTCCGCCTCCCTATGCCCCACCCCTCGCCCCAGAAACCAAATGTCCTTTGCTGTCATTCCATGTTACCAAACAAAACCGACTGTCAGATTCCTAGTCATTCACTCATGTTTACACTTTCCGCAGAGGGCTGTGGGGTTCAGCGGGAAGGGCCGGGAGGTCGACGTGGCTCTGCCACACCATTCCTCTCTAGGCTTTGGTCTTCCCATCTGTTCCAGAAGGGGTGGCTGCTTTTTAAACTGATTCAGCCACAGAACCCTCGTTTCAAATGAAAATTGTCAGGCAAGCCCAACGTTAGCATTTGCTCTGGACAGAACTGTGTTAGGAGAAGGGGGGTGGGTGTCTCCTATTTGGCAACATCTGGGCATCTCCTTGGGACCCCAGGACTCCTCTACACAGTTGGAAAACCGCTGGCCCCGACAGAGTCTGTTGGATCTTGGGGTTCTTAGAGCCAAGGAATCTGAGCTCCACTGACGGCCAGTGATGGGCGAAGTGCACTGTGGGCAGTTCAAGGCCCCCCCATTCCCCTGAATTCCTGTCCTGTCTTGTTGGTGGCATCAAGGGCCAAATTCAAGAGGGGCTGTCAGCAAGGCCGGGCGCTGCCCAAGACCCTGCCTCTGGGGGAATGAGCCGTCCAGCAGTCCCGCCACAGAAATGATATCCGCTTCTCCACATAGGCCTGTGGGGTCAGTCCGTCCTGCCACATTTGCTCGCGGCCAGAAGGAAGGGCTACTCCCCTCATCCCTATTGCCTCACTGTTTGCTCTCTCTTGTCCTCTCTCTTTTCTAAAAACATGTTTTTCATCCCTCCCTCTCCCTCTTTCCTTCAACAAATGCTCAGCTTTCTGTTCTGGGCCTAAGGCTGCAGGGGAAATGAGAGGACTCGAGTGCTGTCCCCAGGACAGAGACTTCACACACAGAGACAGCTACATCCTGGAGGGATTGGTGCCACCAGCGTACCAGGCACCCACTCACTGGGGCTAGGAAGGCTTCCTAGAGGCAGTGGTGACTGAAGGGGCACTGAGACACATGTAGGTGTTAACAAGTTTGGGGGCATGTAGGTGGGGAGGAGGCAGGCGTACCAGGCTCAGGAGAGAGGCCTGGAAACTGTGGGGGCCTAGAAAGCCCGAGTGCTTGAGGAGCTCCTAGCCTCTGGGCCTGGGTGAAGCATGGAGTTGAGGAGCCATGGCAGGTGGGGTGAGATATGTATCCTTGAAGGGCAGACCAAGGGCTGTGGACTTGATCCTGAGGGGCATGGGGAGCCAGTGGAGGTTTTGGGCAGGGGAGTTGGGGAGGCTGGTGGTGCATTTTAGCAGCTCATCTGGCTGCACACGGTTGGCGATGGAGAGACGGTGAAAATGGGGCTTCTCTTCCCCTTGTCACCTCCACAGCCCCCACCCTTCCTCAACACACTCCAGGCAGCCCTGGTTCCCTCTGAGACACAGCACGTGGACAGCAGGAAGAGAGGGTGTTGCCACCCTGGCCTGGCCTCCCAGCCTGGAAGGCTGCCCTTGACCCCTTCACTCCCAGGACTACCGGTCAGGAGTTCGAAACTCCATCCCGACTGGCTGGGATGCTTTGATTTCAGGGCCTCTGAAAAGGGCCTGTTTGTGAACAGGGACTCAGGCAGCTTAGCTTCCCCACCCCTTTCCAGCTCCTTCTATCCAAATCCCGGCTCTGACAAGCTCCTGCCCCAGCCTCGCAGCCGTTCTTGGCCCTGGATCACTACCCCCTGCCCCCCACCATGCCCTGGCCGAGGAGCGGGAGGTTCCATCCCCAGACACAAGCTCTTTTGGTCCACCACTCAGCTCGGCCCTCAGCCCTGCATCCGCGTTGGCGGAGGGTTTCCTGGCACTCAGGGAGCCCCAGGTCAGCCGAAGGAGGAGGCGTGGAGTGGACATCGAGGGGCTGGGGACAGCGGCTGGAGCCCAGGTGATTTCTGGCTGCAGCTTTGGGCTCTGTCCCTCTCCTGCTCAAATCCCTTCCATGGCTCCTGCTGACTCTAGGACAATGGTTCTTAAGTGGGGGCACTTTCACCCCCAGGGAACGCTTTGCACGGTCTAGAAACATTTTTGGTTGCCACCACTAGGGCTGGGGGTGAGGGGCAGGGATGCTACTGGCGTCTGGTGGGTCGAGGACAGAGATGCTGCAAACATCCTCCCATGCACAGGACAGCCCCACTACAAAGAGTTACCTAACCCTAACTGTCCATAGCCTGAGGTCAAGGAACCCTGCCAGAGAGGTAACCCCCGACCCCTGCACGCCTTCATCTGGCCTACCAGCCTTCCGGGCATCACTCCCCTGCTTCAGGCTGGGACTCTCCAGACACTCATCCCACCTCTGCATCTGTGTTCCTGCTGTTTCCCTCTTGGGGCGCCCTCCCTGCTGCCCTCCACCAACCCAAACCTCGTTTCTCTCCACACACTTCTAGCTGCACGAGCCCCAGCTGCCTCCTCCCAGAAGCCGACTCTGATTGTAACACCCTCACTCCTCTCCTCCCTGATCAGCCCCTGCCAGCTTTGGCCCTCCAGAGTCGCATTTCGCACATCTATGCAATGAGCTGGTGAAGTCAGTGGAGCCCCCAGGGCCCTTGTGCTCTGAAAGAGCCCCTCCTGCCTCTCCCTGGTACAAGACCAGGCACTTGGGGCACTCAGTGCAGACTCACAGTGGCCCACAGTGGGATGCACACGGACTGTGGAGCCAGCAGGACCAGGGTTCAAATCCTGGCTCTGCCACTTTCTAGCAGTGCGACCAGGGGCAAATTGCCAAAGATCTCTGAGCCTAAGTTTCCTCCTCTGTAAAATGGGGATAGGTTTTCCAGTGAGATTTCTGAGAGCTGTGCACCGTCCCTTCTCTCCCCTTCTTCCCTAACAGTCAGGCTGGTTTATCTCGTCAAGGTGCACCCCCTTCTCTGGCCATCTCAGATCAAGAACAATCTACTGTCGGGGCCAGGAGGAGGAGGATTAGAGGGTTACCCTCCTATTTCTCCCTAGAAGCTGAGCTTGCACTGGCGGCCAAGGACATTGGGGAACAGAGACCTCTGAAGCCCAGACACAGGAACAGGAGGCTGAGCAGACCTGGGTAAGCTGCGGCCCAGCCCGGGAGCGCTGCTGCCCTCTTGGCTCCCAACCTTCTTGACCTCTCTCCCAGTATGTGCTCTTCCCAGCTTCCCAACCCCCTCTTGGAACTATTCGTGGCTCCCCTGGGTGCAGGATAAAACCCAAGTCCCTGAGCCTGGCCCTGCAGACCTCTCCAGGCCCCTACCCCCTTCCTCACCCATGTGGATTTTGGGGTCCAGCCTCAGTGAATTGCTCGAGGTTTCCAGTAGGCCACTTGTGGTTCTTGACCTCCAGACCCATCCCCTGTAGTTCCCATGCCCGCTCACAGCCTCCTTCTGCCAGGCCAAGCCCTGGGTATCTTTAAGCTCAGGGTCCCCCTCCCCAGAGTGGCCTCCTGACCCCGGTCATTGTAGCTGTGGGTGCCCGTCCTGAGCGCTTCCCTGAGGACAGACCCCCAGGCTCGTGCTTCCCTGGGCCTCCAGGGCCCTGCGTGGAGCTAGCCCAGAGGAAATGCCCAGTGTGATTTAAAAGAAGTGAACGTGGGCGGGAAATGAAGGCCCCTCAGCTCCAGCACCCCTCCTTCACTGCCAGTGGCTGCCCCTTAGAATTCCCTGGTGGGGGTGGGGGAGGAGGGGGAGGGATTGAAACATTCCAGAGCCCAGGCCCCCTCTAAACAAATTGAATCCAAATCTCTAGGGGTGAAACTCGTGTGATCTCGACCCACAGTGAGAGTGAGAACTCTCTGCATGACCTGGGCCAGCCCATGTCCCCTCCCCAACCTGGGTGCAGGGGACGCCCCTGTCAAGTGAGCTGACTCCTAGGGGAGGCTTCCAATACTCTTTAAGACCCCCCATGTGTTGCATTGATCAGAGGAGCCCTTGACAGCTTGCATCAGTCATTCATTCAACAAACATTCCACAAAAACTGCCAGGGTGCAGAGATGAGGCTCCCAGGTACAGCTGCGACAGACAAACTGACTGACACGCTAATGGATGAGGCCACTGGGCGTGACAGGGCTGCCCTCGGAGCCCTGAGTGGAACTGACTCGGGGACCAGAGAAGAGTAAGGGGTGTTAGGAGCACTTGTTAGAGAGTCCCCTGGTCTGGGGTGGGGACTGGATGCAGAGGGTGAGACAGGAGGCCCAGGTGGGGGCTGGCAACTGTGCAGGAGGGATGTGAACTAGGCTGTGTGGGGGACAGGGGTCGGGGGAGACGAGTTTGAGACCCCCTAGGTGCGAGGAAAGCGTGGGGGCTGTGGAGGGAGAGGGAGTCCTGTGGGCAACTGGGTGGCTTGGCCAGAGGAAGAGGCAGAGGACCCGCAGGGAGGACTGAGAGGGGATGGGGAGAAAGGCGCGAGGGAAACCAGAGGGCATGAGGGTTGTGCGTGGGGGTAGGTGAGAGATTCAAACAATGACAAGCACAGTAGTAATAACAATCGTGACAGCCAATGTCAACTGAGTGCTAACTCGGCCTGAACGTTCTCAGGACTGTTTTCCAAGTATTAACACGTTTACTCCTCTCAACAACCCGTGTGAGACGAGGCCCAGTGCAATCATCCCATAACACAGATGGGAAAACGGAGATTCAGAGAAATTACAGAATTGTCCCAGAGAAAGTGATGTGGATTCGGGCTGCCAGGCTCCAGGGACCTCGCCCTGACCTCCCCCCACTCCATCCCACCCCGCCCCTCCCCACAGGGCCTCTCAGCTGAGAGGGCAGGTAAGATGGTGCCCAAGAACGTCCTGGATTCAGCAATTGGGGCTCCACTGGTTGCCTTGGTTGGAGCAGTTTAGGGCCAGGGCGTGGCGCTGAGGACCTGTGGGCAGTGAGGAAGCCAAGTCGGCCCTGGCGGGGGGCTTGACTGTGCAGGAGGAGAGGGGCTTGAGGTCCCGAGGTGTGGAGGAAGGAAGGGAGCCGGCACTTGCTGAAGGAAGCAGAGAGCCAGTTCGGGGTTGACAAGGAGGTCCCCAGGCAGGGGGAGGGAGGGCCGCAGAGCCGGGAGCTGAGGGAAAGAGGGGAGACCTGGAGCACAGAATCCAGCGGGCTGGGAGGGGCCTGGAGAAGCTGCCGGAGCTCCAGCCTCGCTTCTCTCCTGCTGCCCCTGAGTCTGTGCGACTGAATGAGGAGTGGGGCTCTGCAGGAAGGGGAGGGGCCAGGCTGTGAGCTGGGCCGGCCCAGCAGGAGAGAGGCAGAGAGACAGAGAGATGGATGGAGAGACAGAGACAGACAGAAGGAGAGAGACAGCAGTAGAGAGAGACTCTGAGCGGGTCACTGTCCATCCCCTGTGAGCTGTCAGAGGCCAGTCTGGGAGAAGAGCCCCAGAAGGGGTAGCACAGCCACCCCTACCCGGCCCCCCACGGAGCTGGCTAAAGGAAAGACTCAGAGCAGGCCTATTTCTAGGTACCCTGGCTTCCCGGCCAGGGAGTTGGCACAGCCACTTGGTCAAGGACAGTCTCCCCAGGAGAAGGATATCTATCCCTGCCCCCCAACCAGGGAGCACACCAGGGGCAGACCTGGGACAGCCCCCGGAGTGTTCCTGAGTGAGGCCTGAACCCCCAACTCCCAGGTTCAGGAGGCAAGAGCCTCCCAGCCCACTTCCCTCCTGGCCTCTCTGGCTACCTTCTAGAGCAGCCTCATCCTGTGGTCTCAGGCCCCCTCCCTCCACTGCCGCCCTCCACTCTCAATGCCTAATGTTCACCATTAGCAAAGGCAGGGGAGGCCTTTGCCTGAGATTTGGGTCAAGGGAGAGAGTCCTGGGCGGAGGTGGGGCTGGAGGCTGGGGGACAGGCACCTCCAGCCATTTCAGGAACTGCGATCCAGTGAGCTGACTTTTCTGGAGCACAGACCCCCTCACTCGGGTGCAGAGCCTGTGGAACCCCCAGGTGGGAGGCTGGGTTCCCCACACCCTCACCAGCTCACTCATGGGCTTTGCAGACACAGCCAGCCGAGACAGAGACCCACACACAGGCACTCTGTTCTCCTGGTGAGGTGCTCATGCCCTCAATACGCATTCGTGTGCATGGACACATGCGCACACAGACATGCGGCTGCGTGGAGGCACGCTGGGATGTAGGTCATTGGCTGGAGCGCCTGGGGCCGGGGCTCGTGAGGATACAGGCATCCGGGCACATGCTCCAGAGTGGACAGACAGGCCCCCTCCCTCCGCCTGCCCCTCCCCGCTGCTCGCCAGCCCGTGTCAATCTGACCCAAAGGCTCTCGAGGCCTCTGCTGGCTTTTCCCCAGAATCCCGCTGGCAGAGTCTGCAGACCCCACTCTGCCTGGGTGAGGGGGCAGAGTTCCTGGCCACAAGACTTTTTCTCTGTGTGTCGGTCCCTGTGGGGAGCAATGTGGAGTCTACAAGAGATGGAGGGATGTGGCCCCACCTTAAAGACTTCCAAGACATAGCCCAGGGCTAGAGGCGCTAAGGACCAAGAGGTCAAGGAGAGAACAGAGCAGCCTCAGCTGGGCTGGTGAGGGCTGGCTTCCTGGGGGAGGTGGCAGGACCTTGGCTGGGCAGCTGAGTGCAGGCTTCGAGAAGCCTAGGAAAGGGAGTGGTACTGAGGCAGCTGGGAGGCCCCCCGTGCTCCCGTCCTCCACTCTGGCATTGGGGTCTCTCCGGAGGTCACATCTGGAAGGACCATCACAGACTTTTCTACACAATCCCCTTGGCTGGCCCTTCGGGCCCTTCCGACACAGCCAGCCCAGGACCTCACTCCCCCTCCCATCCAAAATCTGCTCTTCCACCCGTGTCCCCCTCTCAGTGTGGACACCAACTCTCCTACCATGCAGGGGGTCAGGTCACCCCGACCTCCTCACCCCATTCTCGTCAGCCTCCAAGTTTGCTGTCTAGCTCACAGAGCAGATCAAAACCTGGAGGTGGAGACAGGCAGGGCAGCAAATGGACGGAACTCATCAGTGTGCAGTAGCATAGCAGGAACCCCGGGGGGCCGGGGAGCTCAAACCAGGAAGTCAGGGAAGGCTTCCTGGAGGAGGTGACTCTGGAGCTGGGACCTCAGGATGAGCAGGAGCAGCCAGGTTAGGGGGGTGGTGGGGAGAGTTAAGATGGAGGAGTGTTCCAGGCAGGGGGATCAGGAAATGCAAAGGTGAGGGAGGAGAGGGAGGATGGCCCATTCAAGGCGGATATTAATTCATGATGACGGAGTGCAGAGAAAGAAAGGATGTGGCTGGAGACATGGCCAGAGGCGTCATCCGGGGTCAGACGGGGGACTACCTTGAGGCTGTGTTAATGAGTTGAGACTTCGTCCTGTTGCAGTGGGGCGCCCTGTGGAACTTTAAGATGCCTGTGAGTGGCCCTCTTTGGCTGCAGGTGGAGGATGAATTTGGGGGACGAGTGGAGATGGGGAGCCCCAGGAGGCAGCAAGAAGTCCAAGGTGGGGCCTGGTCTGAGGTGGGGGCTGGGAGAGGGAAAGTCAAGGCAGATCTCAGGACCACGTAGGAGGCAGAACGGACCAGGGTGGTGCTGGTTCCTCCCCTCTCAGGCCCTGTCTTCACACCATGTAATGGGGGCTGGACGGGAGGACCAGGAAGACCCTCTCCCTTGTGCCTCCTCACACCTCGGGCCGTTTCCTGTTTGCTCCAGCCTCCCCGGGCTTCCCAAGGTGACCTCTTGGGAGGAATCCCAGCTGGGAGGGGCACAGCTTTAGCTTGGAAGGCCTGGGGTGGGGTCAGCAGCCCAGGACACGTCCCCACAGCAGGAGGCATGGGCTGGGCAGTGGCAACAAAGGGCTGGACTTGGAGCACGCAGCGGCCAGCCCAGGGAGACCAGCCAGTGAGAGGGTGCTGGGGACACCCTGGGCCTCACGGGAAGGGCCAGCGGCCTTCTAGGAATAGGGAGAGCCAGCGCTACGGTCCAGCAGCCTGGGTGCGAGTTAGGCCCCATCACTTGCAGGACTGAGTCTTGGGTTAGTGACCTCACCTCCTAGTGCCTCAGTTTCCTCATCTATAAAATGGGGATTTAACGTGTGCAGTGGGAAATACACCAGGTGGTCGGAAAGCTTAGAGG